GTTTTGTTTTGTTTTGTTTTTAAATCAATTACATGTTTAAATTTGATCAATAAAAACATTTTGTTCTTACCTTTTACTTATTTTCAAGTGTGTGGATCATTTTCTTAACACACCATGAATGTTCAAACTTCAATAGAGCTTTTGCACATTTCCATCCTAACACAAGTACACATGAGGTTTTCACACATTCACCAGAAGCAGGGGGATCATTCGCTGTGCTGGTCGAGTGTTTACATTTTTTACAATTGCAATGAGGAAAGGTGACTTTTGTAGCATGTATAATTGTTTGAGGCAACATGACCAAGTAAAATATAAAGGAGAAGCTTGCTCTTTTTACCAAATTCCTCTAGGAAAGTCGAGCAAAGCTGCTACAAGAAGAAAGCTGTGGCTCAGTGCGCTTCGCCCTCATGATTTCACTCTGAGAAACACAAGTGTGTAATCAGCATTTTGTTTCTGGCATGGCAAATAATGGTTTGATTTGTAAGGATTATCTTTCTACGTCACATCTTGGTTATGAGAAACACAGAAGAGAACAACCTGCAGCAAAAGAGCTACTGGACAGATGTGAAGAAAAGTTAAATGTCAGCAAAATACATTTGTGTTTGTGAAATTAACTATCCATGAATGTGTTCTAAATATACACAATGATGCGATAACTTGACTTCAACGTCCTTAGTGACTGTCTACTTTAACACAGTGTCCCCCCACCCCCAGCAACATCCTCTTGGATCTGCAGCACTTTTCAGGGATTTTGTCCAGAATTTTCCAAAACCACACATCAACATTACAACTCTCCATCATCACCTCGCTCCATCATCACCTCGTTCTTTCTACTTACATTCCCCCTACATCTGATTTTTGCAGGAATGTGGCATTTTGCCATCCAATCAAAAGGTGTGTTTCATGCATGTTTTGGAATGTGCAAAAGGTTTATTCATTAATTTTTAAAGTAAACTGGGTTCCCACGGATCATTGAAAGTTTGAATTTGAAAAAAAGTTCAAGGCCCTGGAAAGTTTTTGAAAACATCTAAAAGATGGTCATCCTTAAACCCAACCAGAGCAGAGCAGGGTGGGTTGTTCAGTGTCCAGATACCATGTTTGCACCTCCTGCACTGCGCCCCTAAACCTCCTTCCAATCTCTAAATTGTCCTTAAGTGTGAGTGAGAGAGGTGAATGGTTGTTTGTCCCTGTGATGGACTTGTGATCTGTCCAGGGTGTACCCTGCCCCTCACACTGACTGCTGGATATGGGCACCAGTGACCCTAGAAAAGGAATAAATGGGAATAGATGATGGATGGATATATGTACATACTTGTATTTTTAAATACTTGTTAAATGTAATCTAGCTATTGTGTGCATATATTGCTTGTGCCTTACCTATCTGCACAATGTTATTTTCACATGAAAGTACACTATATCAGTGCTGAGATATGGTCTCTAACACCTGATATCTAAAAAGAAAACAGGTGCAGCTTTCACTTTAACCACACTAGACGGGCCTTCTAGCCAATCAGAAACGGAGTGGAGACGGGCTTTGGGTTTTGGCAAAACTTTTAATTCAGATCCAGCAAATTCAAGTGGTGCTCAAAATAAAATATTTGTTAAAACAAGTTTGAAAAAACTAGAGACGATATCAAAGCTGTCTGGTCTCATCGCCCTGACAAGGAAAACTTTACACTGGTTGGAGTCCCAACTGGACACAACCTCCACAAAATAGTGAAGGGACTCCATGATGGTCTGTGTGATGCCTGTGGTATAGAATTAAAGACCTCTTTGCTTTACTCAGGCCACTGCCTGACTCTGAGCTGTGAAAAGTTCAGACCACAGTGTTTCTAAACTTGTGTTCTTCATCTGAGGAAACACAAAGGTTTAAGCTCAGTGTCACTTTGGGGAACACAACAGGCCCAGATATATGGGTTCTATTTCGTGTAAGCTCCGCCCTCTAAGGCTATCGCAGATGGGTACCCCTGTGCGCGTACGCGCATTCTGAAGAGCCAATAGTCCACGCCCACGTGACGTGGGCCTCACCTCGGTCCGTATAAAAGGGGAGNAGTAGTTTGGTTCAGGAGCTGGCTAATCTGCGTGAGGCTCATGGTCAAGGGGTGAGTGCCCTGCAGGCCAAACACAACAAGCTGGAAGTGGACATCCTACAAGCTAAGGAGAGACATCAGCTGGTAAGATGAGGCTGCAGCTCATTGACAGATTGTAGCCATTTCCTGCTGCCATTAGCTTCTTTACTTCTGAACTCATCGTAGAGTTTATCTGATTTGATTTTTCATTTTTATTGACCGGTAAAAATAACGGCTAAATTCCAGACATGAAGCTGAAGATCAGACTAGTATAAAACAGGATAGCAGAGTTTAGAGCAACAAAATGATCTAAGATTTACAGACATTTAACCAAAGTCAAATTATCCAGCAGCTTGTCAGTGTGGATGGACCTGACAAATGCAGTCCTAACACAGGGCTCTAGAGTGCGACCAAATTTCCTAATAGTACGACGGGAAAAAAATGTCCGGTGGCACTGGTGTGACCGATCGTTGGAGGGGGAGCGGTGACCAGCTGAAACTAAAAGTTTACATGTCCACTAAAACAAATGAATCCAGCAGTATCAACCATAACAGTCACCCGCAGACACAGTCTCCATGTCTGCTAATAACACAGAGCTCTGCTCGCAGGCCACGCACGCGTGCATAGTGAAACAACCATATATTTACTTAATCTATTTTTTTTTTTTACCCAGATCGGAGTCTGAAAAACTTGTTTCATAATTGTGGAGATGAAAATAAGATGTGGATGTTGCTCGCTCTAAAGTCCATCTTGTTAATTTAACAGTCGGGTTCTGAGCGCTGCAGATCATATCAGAAGGACGAGAAAGTTCACAAGTATAGCAGGCCGCTGTTACACTTAATCGGTTTCACCACAGTTACATTCCAAGTTTCTGAAATACGTTCTTGGTCTCAGGAGGATAAAACTAAACATATTAGATATTTAAGTGAAATAATATACCGTATTTATTAAAGTATAATGCGTAAAATTTAATCCATAAAGTTGGGGGGTAGTATTATACTCGGATAAATATTTTTACTTATGTATTTAAACTGAAATATCTGCGAAGTTATTGAGTCTGGAAATGAGACCGCGTTGGAAAAAGCAGCTGAAACGAGCTCACCTGTGACACTCCTCTGTGCTTTAGAGCGAGATAACAGATCCAAGCAGGCGACATGATGTGAWAACAAGGGGAATCACAGTCCTGCAGCTCAGTAATGATAACAAACTAATGACATTAGCGTGTGACCAAGCCGCTGCTTGAACAACAAACACACGTGGCTGCCAGGGGTAGACATAAGGAAATTTTGACAAAACCTGGTTGTCAGCAAAACATTTTGGTTGTCCAAAAGACTCTGAAGAAAACTGTAATTTAACAAGTANATATATATGCAGATAATAGTTTTATTTTGCTCTGGTCTTTCACCTTATAATGCTCTTAATCAATTACAGTCGGATTTTAATGTTTTTCGGACAAATCTTTATTATCTTAAGCTTGTGTTAAATGCAGATAAATCAAAGGTCATGTTGTTTTCAAATGGGAGATTTGAATGTAAGGGTGAGGGTTTGAAAATAGAAAACGTGTCAGTATAAATATTTAGAATTTTAAATTGATGATTTTTTGTATTTTTCTGCCCATATTCAACAGATGGTGAAAAAGCTGTGGTTAAAAGTGGGATTTTATTTCAGGATTAGATCGTGTCTATCTTTTGAGAAAGAAGGCGATTGGTTGAAGCAACATTTATGTCTGTACTGGACTATGGGGACATTTTATGTATGCATGCTTCTCTTAAATGTCTTTACTGACTAGATTCTGTTTATCATGGAGCTCTAAGATTTATAACAGGTTTAAAAGGTTTTGCACATCATTGCACATTATACAATCGGGTTGGATGGACAGCCTTGGACACTCGTAGACTCCGTCATTGGTATATTTTTATTTATAAGGCCATACTAGGACTTCTTCCATCATATTTTTTAGCCTACATAAATAGAAAGTCCACTGGCGGATAGAATTTATTTTTGCTTTAGGTGCCTAAAGTCTGAACTGGACTTGGAAAGAAATCTTTTCAGTTTTCTGCTCCAGCTTATTGGAACCAGTTGCAGAGATACTTGAAACTAAAAGGGCTGTTGTCACTAAATGTTTTAAAGGCTGTTCTTATTGATTTTGGGAAAGAATCATCTGTTTGTAAATGTTTAAACTGAGGAATCTTTTATTTAATCTATCTATGATGGTGCTGTTTCTATTTTTGCTGTGAATGTTTTGTAACCTCTGTGTACCGCTGCCAGTCTTGGCCAGGATTCCCTTGCAAAAGAGATTCTTAATCTCAATGGGATTTTCCTGGTGAAATAAAGGTTTAGTAAATAATTATAATAATAAAAACCATGTTTGTAAAATTTTTATTTAAAAAAGAAAATTTTCCAGATTACAATTTAAAAACTTTGTCATGACAATTTTTAAAAATATTTTCCTTAGTCCTGAGCTTCAGACAGTTTGGACTCTGTTCAGTCTAAACGAAGTTTAAACATCAGGACACCTCTCAGTGTGACCAGCGCTCTGATCTTCCTCTCTTTTAGCTCCTCTTCCTCTCGTCTTGTTTCTTATTGACAGTAGTACTTGTAGTTCAGTTTGTCTCCCAGCTTTGTTCCTGCCAGGTGTTTGTTGAAGGCTTCGTCCATCTCTTGGCTCTGTTCAGGAGTAAAATGGTTCTTCCAGTCTCCCACTTCACCTGGACAAGAACAAAAACACTCACAGGTAAACAGTACTCAGGTTTTCTACCACTGCTACTATGTAAATTGGTGACAGAAATGAAATCTTTTGAGAATTTTACAAACAAAAGGTGCTTCAAAGTTTGTTTAAATGTTGTCATGTTTAATAAAGATGTCTATGAAGTATACAGAGAATGTAAATCCTGAACGAAAATGAACTCACTCATCAAGCTTGTATCTCATGGGTTATGAAAGGTGTTGCCAAAATGAACGTCAAACAACCTCGTAACTTCACATTGCATATGGAGTATAACGGGCCTTTAAAAACGAAATTTAAACTCCAAAATCGAATGCTAAGCCCAACAAAGTTGCATTTCACTGTTTGCGGAATCAGGTTTCCCTGATATTGCGGAAATCAAAAATACAGTAAGGAAAGTCAATTTTTCTTCACTTGTGTTTTCTTGTGAGTTTGCTAGCTAAACTGTTAAGAACAATATAATTTACTAATTTTCTAACATAAATATTAACATTTATTCAGTTCTCACAGGTAACTCTAAGAATGTAATCTCCAGCAAAAAGTCTGGACTTCACTTCCAGTTTTTCAGAGAAAAAATGAAGGTGCGTCTCACCTTTCCTGAAGAAAACTTGTCCCATGTTGCCGTGGGAATTAGCTGAGCTCTCTTTCATGGCGTTGAACGAGCTCGCTCCTGTGATCTGCTGGATCTGAGCGTCCGTCAGGCTGAAGCCGAAGAAGGTGGAGATCTGACGGACCCCTGAGGTCAGGTCCTGCAGGACAACAAACACAACCAAGGCTCAGAGCTCAAGGCGAAGTTTTCACACTTCTGTTTTAGAAAGAATAATCTATCTAAAAAAAGACGAGGCATGTTAGAAAACAGGCACCATCATTTAGAGAAAATTTGAATTTCACAGCTGATTTTGATGTTTTTGTGAGAATGAGCCGAAGAATCTGAGCGATCGACCTGTTTCAGTTCTTCGTACGTGATGACCAGGACTTGTGGGTCGTCCATCCTCTTGTCCCAGGCCAAGGCGTAATCAAAGTATGACCCCCAGGCAACTGCAACAAATATGAAATAAAACAGGTTAAAAAATTTCCACCCAGGTTTTTATAACTCTGAGGGTTTGATGGGTCAGAGGATCTGTTCCAAGCCTTCTTCTGAAGTCAAAGCTGTGTTAAGTAGATCTTATTGCTTTCTGGAACCACAAGGCAACATTAGGTGGTTTCTTTGGTGGAGAAAGTACTCAAACACTGTACTTAAGTAAAAGTACAGATAAACAGACAAGAATGTACTCTAGTAAAAGTACCACATTAACATTTTACTTGAGTAAAAGTAAGTACTTGCTTTTAAAAATACTTAAAGTGTTAAAAGTAAAAGTACTTGCTTAATGCATTCCCTAATGGTCTACAATGTCATTAAGTGTGCCTACTGTATGTATATTTTAATACATCAATGGTGCCATTTTAGTGAACAATGCTGCAGATAATGCATAGTTTTGTGTTTACACTCTGTGACACTGTTCACACTTTGTGATTCAGTGCATCATCACATATTGTGACAACAGCTGCAGAAGATGTAAATTCACCACCAACCTCCTCTATCAAATCTCAACAAGTCATTTTTTGAACCAGTTAAATAAGGCCATGAATGGCACATTTCCTCCGTGGTGGAAACCATTGTGGGCATGCTGATGCTCTGTTTTTTTAATGAAGGAGGGTCTAATGGTACTTTCCTGCTTTGTTCAATGGACCGATTACAGCAATTCCCCCTCTCGCCACTGATTATTTTCTAACAAAACAATCAAATAAACCACAAATAAAACAAAATAAAAAATAAATAGACGTGACATGAATGTAATTTGTAATTCAACGCATTACAGGAATGTAGTGGAGTAGAAAGTACAGATACTTAATGTAAAATGTAGTGGAGTAAAAGTCAAAAGTACCCATGATGAAATCTACTTAAGTAAAGTACAGATACATGAAAAATGTACTTAAGTACAGCAAGAAAGTACTTGTACTTAGTTACATCCCACCACTGGTTTCTTGCTTTAAAGTGGACTGTAGAACCGCACGTCACTGATGGTTCACTCTCATCTGAGGCAAGTTAAAATGAAAGATATTGGACAATCAGTAAAGAATTAATACAGTCTAACACATTGGCATCTCAGTGTTAGCATTAAATGTTGGTGCAAATTCTCAGGCAGCTTTATGCAGGTTCATGTGGCAAGATTTTAAAATTATCGGTTGATCTTCAAAGACTGAGAGACCCTCACACGACAATAAAAAATGAAGTCAAACCATTTCTGAAGAATTGTGTCATCCTTAGTATCTGAAAATACATTTCCTCAAAGGTGTTTTTAATCCAAAAAGGACTAGACTGAGAAGATTACGAGCTAAGCAGAAGCAGTTTCACCAGCTGCTAGTTGTTGCTGCTGATAGCCTGCAGGAGTTGTGGGCCAGGGGCGGTGTGCTCTGTGATGAGGAAGCTCAGCTTGGAGACACAGCCCAGAGGAGGAGCTGATCCTAAAAGGTGGTTCTAATCCCAACCGGTTGTTTCTGCTCCCCTGCCTGGCTGCCTCAGGACACTACAGGATTTCTCAAACATGCATGAATGAGTCAAAACAAGACTCTGGGCATGTTTTTGATGAGAGGATAACATTATAACATGATATAAAGCTAAATTAAAAAGCTGAGTATAGCGTGTGAGGTGCCTAGTGGGCTAACCCACCAAGCCATTTGATTTGGCCCACCACCATGGTTACTACTAGGTTGTAATCTGTGGTCCTATGTAGAAACACAGTATTTCCACCTAAAGTCTTCCCATTCATTGGCTCAATGATTATATAAGTGGCTGTAGAGCAGTTAGTCAAAAACGTGGGCCACCACACTGGCTGCTGGCTTAATCATTAAAAAAAGGACTGTACTTAAGAAGTATTTGAATTTCATGAATTATATTACTGCATTTGGACGCAGCCCTCAGATAGATTTTCATTTTGGAGAAAAGGTTTGTGTAGCCTTGATATACGTATGTACAGTATATAAACTGAAACAGCTGGACTAGTGCATCCTGAATTTAACATAAATCAATTATTTTAATACAACATAGTCATTTCTGCATTTTTTTGGGAGGTCCCCTGCTAATGAATGTCATTATATAAAATCTAACTGCTCATTTTAAATCAATACTTTTAATACTTTGCAAAAAATATCAGATACTTTAAGACTTTTACTCAAGTAATATTCCTAAAGGAGACTTTAACTTTTACCAAAGTATTTTTGGTAAAATACTTGTACTTTTACTCTAGTAATATTCCTAAAGGAGACTTTAACTTTTACCAAAGTNCAAGCAGGGGTGTGTCACCCTCCCGCTTCGTTTCAGCATGAATCCACCAATCACAGTTGCGCGGTGAGCGCTGTGTTTGGCTCCACTGAAACTCGCCTTAACTCATGCTCACGTACGGCCCCGGAGGCAATCCCTCCCGGGCCGCATTCATAACGACGGCACGCAGGGCTCCCCGGAGCTCCTGCACAGTCCTTTCGAGAAAAGCCTCCCATGGGTCACACGAGAGAGCGTGACGGCGGCGAAAGCTCTGAGTGGATCGGTTGCTACGACAATCGTTCTACAACCAGCGCATACGCGAGCTCTCTCAGAGCACAGCTTCGTCTGGGCACACACCTGTCCTATGGGTAAGTGGATGAAGCGCTTGATAAAAACGGGACACAGGTTACAGTTTGCAACCAAGCCTCGCCGTTTCAGCAGGATCCGGGAGACCCACTTGTCGTCTCCTCAGCAGGATCTCGCTCTTCAAGCAGAGCTTCAGGAACTCTTAAACAAGGAAGTCTTTTCCGGAGTTCCAAGTGGGAAGGAATACGAGGGTTTTTATTCCCGGTATTTCCTTGTTCCCAAAAAACGGGTGCAATAAGACGGATCCTGGATCTCTTGGTTTTTTTTTTCAACAATTCACACTGAAAAGACCTTTTCACATGTTGACTACCAAACAGATGCTCACATGTGTTCAGGAAGGCGATTGGTTCACGTCAATCGACCTGAAAGACACTTATTTTCATGTCCCGGTCATCCCGGCGCACAGAAAATACCTGCGTTTCTCTTTTCAGCAGACTCAGTACCAGTACAACCGACTACCTTCGGTTACGCACTGGCACCATGCACCTTCTCAAAATGCGTAGAAACAGCTCTGCAGCCTCTGCGCTCAGYGGGAATGAGAATCCTGTTTTATCTGGACGACTTGCTCCTGCTGGCTCCATCCTGACAGGAAGCAGCGTCACAGACAGAGAAACTGTCAGCACACCTCAGGATGCTGGGTTTTTCCATAAACTGAAAAAGAGTTCTCTCATTCCGGCCCAATCCATCACGTATCTGCGTGTGGATCTGAACTCAGTCACCATGACAGCTCATCTGTCTCTAATCAGAAAAGAGACTCTGCTGTC